CTGCCATGAAAGTTATCTGGCGGGATTTGCAAAAACAAATTAAAAAGCGATTCTCTGCCCTGAGGAACAAAACTTTTGAAAATAATGTTTCTAAATTAGACCCGAGTTCCAAACCCTTTTGGAAACTCACAAAAATTTTGAAAAAACCTCAAAAGCCTATTCCAGCGCTTAAAGAAGGTGGTCAAATTTTGATCACAAATTTGGAAAAAGCTCAGAAACTTGCTAAGCAATTCGAGAGTTCCCATAATTTCAGTTTGGGTCTGTCTAGTCCTATTGAGAATCAGGTTGCTGGGGATTTTCTGAATATTTTCTCTCGGGAAAATATTTTTGATGATTCCTGGGGGACTGATTTGGACGAAGTAAGGTCTATAACTAAAAAATTTCAAAATATGAAAGCTCCAGGTGATGATGGAATTTTCTATATCCTCATCAAAAAACTCCCAGAGAGTACCTTGTCTTTCTTGGTAAAATTATTTAACAGATGTTTCCATTTGGCATACTTTCCTGATAAATGGAAAAATGCAAAAGTTGTTCCAATTTTGAAGCCGGATAAAAATCCAGCTGAAGCTTCTAGCTACCGTCCAATAAGTTTGCTTTCTTCAATAAGTAAACTTTTTGAAAAAATAATTTTGAATAGAATGATGCTTCACATCAATACGAACTCAATTTTTGCAGATGAGCAGTTTGGATTTCGCCATGGGCATTCAACTACTCATCAACTCTTGAGAGTTACCAATTTAATTCGTTCAAACAAATCTGAAGGCCACTCAACTGGAGTTGCTCTTCTAGACATAGAAAAAGCATTCGACAGTGTTTGGCATGAAGGTTTGATTGCTAAATTGAAAAAGTTTAATTTTCCACTTTACATTATGAAATTAGTTCAAAATTATTTAACTGACAGAACTCTGCAGGTAAATTATCAAAATTCGAAATCTAATCGACTACCTGTTAAAGCAGGAGTTCCTCAGGGTAGCATTCTTGGGCCTATATTGTATAACATTTTCACTTCGGACCTCCCTGATTTGCCTCAGGGTTGCCACAAATCTTTGTTCGCTGATGACACAGGCATTTCCGCTAAAGGAAGAAGTCTTCGTGTTATTTGCAGCAGACTTCAGAAAAGTTTAGATATTTTCTCTTCTTATTTACAAAAATGGAAGATTTCTCCCAACGCTTCCAAAACTCAACTTATAATATTTCCACATAAGCCTAGGGCTTCCTTTTTGAAACCTAGTAGTAGTCACATAGTCACTATGAACGGAGTTCCAATTTCCTGGTCAAACCAAGTGAAATATCTTGGATTAGTTCTTGACCAAAAATTAACTTTTAAAGATCACATTGAGGGCATTCAAGCCAAATGTAACAAATATATAAAATGTTTGTATCCTCTTATAAACAGGAAATCCAAACTTTGCCTGACGAATAAACTTCTAATATTTAAACAAGTTTTTAGACCGGCCATGCTTTACGCTGTGCCAATATGGTCTAGTTGTTGCACTACCAGGAAAAAAGCACTTCAAAGGATTCAGAACAAAATTCTGAAGATGATTTTGAAGTTGCCTCCCTGGTACAGTACTACCGAAGTACATAGAATTTCGAATGTTGAGACTTTAGCACAAATGTCCAACAAAATAATTAATAATTTCCGGCAAAAATCGTTACAATCCTCAATTGCAACGATTAATTCCCTTTATACTTAGATAAGATTTAGTTTTAGTTATTTAGTTTTAAGCTATCAATTGTTATACTGACATGCAGGTTTAAAAAACCTGTTTAAAATACTGAATTGCCAAGACAGGAACAATGTAAAAACACTTAGATATATATCATAACAATTAAGGCTGGTAAGTTACTGTAGTAACTGGAGCACCTAGGTTAAAAATGAAATGTAATTTATTTTGAATTTGGAACAAATAAAGAGTTAAAAAAAAAAAAAAAAAAAAAAAAAAAAAAAAAAAGCCTGGTAAAGATCCGACCAGTACCAAAAGCTATCGTTGATACTCAGCCGTTTGCTGGTGTTTTCAAATGATAATAATATCTTTCTCAAAGAGCAATTCGGGTTTAGGAAAGGCCACTCTACCATCCACCAACTCGCACGGGTTACTAACATCATCAAGCGGAACAAGTCCGTTTCCAATACATCTGTCATGGCATTGTTAGACGTCGAGTAGGCGTTCGACAATGTCTGGCATGATGTGCTAGTGTACAAGCTGCATCGATAAAACTTTCCGATCTACCTTGTAAAAATCATCAAAAACTACTTGTCGGGCAGATCATTCTAGGTCTACTTGAACAATGTCCCCTCTGATACGTTCAATGTTGATGCTGGGGTCCCTCAGGGTAGCCTTCTTGGGCCTATCCTATTCAACATTTTCATGTCAGACGTTCCGCTCCTGCCGGGTGGTGGTATCCTGTCAATGTTCGCAGATGACACCTCCATCATCTATAAGGGTCGAGTGATCCGTGCTCTGGCGAGTAAACTACAATCAGGCCTGGATCTTGATAGCACTCCCATTGAATAATCGAGTGAAATAGTCTACCTTGGTCTCACCCTCGATAACAAATTGCTATTCCGATCCCATATGGACAAGACATCCACCAAGTGTACCATTTTGATCAGGTCGCTCTACCCTCTTATAAACAGGAAGACCACCCTGCCCTCGAAAACAAGCTTGCTGTCCACAAGCAGATCATTCTGCCGGTTATTGAGTATTGTATGTCAATCTGGGAGAGTTGAGTTAAGTGCCACCACGTAAAGCTTCAGAGGATCCAAAACAAGATCCTCAAAATGATCCTTAACAGTCCACCGCGAACTCGTAATTCTGAGATTCACCACCTGGCCGGTCTTCAAACACTCGAGGAGCGAAAGACTTCCACGCTGGAAAGGTTCAGAGTCGCCTGTCTGCGATAAAACCACCAGATCAGTGATTTGGCAACCTAGCTCAAGTAGTTAGGTAGATTCCTGTGCTCAAGTATGTAGGTTTTCAAATTTTTAAATTCAAACGGAAACAAGCCCTTAAAAGGGTATCCTGTAAATTAGCGCTAAATGCAATCATCACATTAGAATAACTAATTAACTAGAACAAAGATGAAGAGCCAAAGGCTAACCAATTGAAATGTAAAACCAAATGTTGAAACTTAAAAAACAATAAACGTAAATTTTACTTTAAAAAAAATAAAAAAAAAGCCTCAACTCACTTTCGCTTTGAACAGCGTGGTGAGCAGGCAGCAGAAGCATTAATAGCAGCAGTCCGGAGGTGGTGGAAGGTTAGGTAGTCCACTCTTCTACCCAACAAGCATTTAGTCATTTGGCATAGGAGGAAAAGGTCTTGGTAAAAGAGGCGCCAAGCGTCATCGCAAGGTTCTTCTCAACAAACAATTTGAGCTGATTAAAAGCTGAATAAGGCTATTTTATCTGAATAAGCTGTTGTGCAGCTTCCAATATTTGTTGGGTTCGTGATAACCGCCATCCATCGTCAAGCCAAGCGGTGTCAAACGTATCTCCGGTCTGATCTACGAGAAAACACGAAGTGTTCTGAAGGTGTTCCTGTAAAATGTGATCCGTGATGCTGTCACCTACTCTGAATATGCCAAGCGTAAGCTATGAAGCGACAGACGCACTTTATACGGTTTCGGAGGTTATATCATCACCAGCTTTGGCAACAAAACGGCCCTTTTCAGGGCCAACAAGCTTATTAAAGAATTAAAATAGAATTTATCTGTGCTTGTTTGTCCTTATCAGAACAATACGACTACACAACGACCACACAAAATGCTCTCCAGAGTTGTAATCTTGTAACCAAACTTGGAAGCAGGCAAGTGATTTCGATCGATTCTCTTCATCAACTTTCTCTTTGAAAAAATTACTACAAATTTGGTACGCCTACAAGTCAAACAGGGAAAAAGTTAAGATTATAGATGATCGATCAATTAAAAGAACTAAATGCTCTTCACATTTGTTCCGTTCACTAGCGTAGGACACGTGAAGATTCCGTTCGTGCCCCTAGGCACTTTTTTATGTATTTCATTTTTGACTAGACCATTCGAGTACATTTTAAGAAAATGCTAGTACAATCGAGAAAATAGTGTTGCCATGTGGTACACTGAAAACATTCAATAGCGTGGCGTTGAAAGCGGTGATTCAGGCGTTCCGGGATATGTTCAGGATGGTGCTGCAGCAATTCCTGGACGAAGGTCACTTCCCAGAGAAGATACAGAGGCTAATGTTGCTGCCGACGCCAGGAAAACCGCCGCGGAAAGTGACTAGAGAAATACGGAAAATTGTTAGAGCGGAGTCGATGGCCAAGTGGCAGCAGGATTGAGATACGGAGGAGAACGGTGGATGAACACACAGTCTAATACCGATTCACTCGACCTGGGTGAACAGAGGAGAGGTATATAAACTTCCACCTGATGCAATTCCTATCTGGTCATAGTTGCTTCAGGCAGTACCTACATAGGTTCGGGCACGCAATTACTATTGGTACTATCATTTATTGAAAAATATGGAAAACGTCATTTTGAAAAAAATTGGAAAGTTCAAAATGACCTAATTCTAGCACAGCTGTAAATGATTGTCTATAACAAATAATTCTCGATTACTTTTTCGAAGGGACGTATCAGCTTTTGTAAACAATGCATTTGATAGTCAATTTGACGTAACTGATAGCTTTTCCACGCACACTAACACCACTATCAGGTAGAGGAAAGTTTCCCCTGTCTTATGGTAGTGTTAACATGCGTGGACGAGCTACCAATTACGTCAAATCGACGATCAAATGCATTGTTTACAAAAGCTGATACGTCCCTTCGAAAATGTAATCGAGAATTGTGCAAAGTTTTATGCAAAGTGGAGAAGGTTGCATTTCATTGTCGTGAAGTAATTTTGATCACAACCTGTTACAACTCGATAATCATCATATTCTAAATATCACGCTGGGAAGCAATTTAAAATGCCTAAACTTGAATGAAGATTTTTTCACATCAAAAACAAACTAGCCAGATCAAGTATAAATATTTTATTTGTCATTCCAGTTGTTTGTCACATAAGATTTTTTTGTTTCATTTTCTGTTTTCATGCTTATTGGTAATGTAAAGATACTGTTGCTAATCCATTCATGTTTTTTTTCTTTTAATATATAACCACACACAACTTTCTTATCCTGCTGTTGGATACTCCAAAGCGTAGTGTTTTTTTATCTACTTAGATTGTAAACCTCTAGCTATTATTTACCGGGTACCCTAAATACTCGAATACAACTAACAAGGTTGAGAATGGTTAGATTTACCCATGTGTTTTTCTTTTTCTTATATAGTTTGAAGGATAAACAAAACGTTTAGAAATAAATTTTCTGAAGTCTAGATTTTTTCGTAATTGAACTAACACGCCTCTAACTTATAGTCTAATCTACTTGGAATGGCGCGATCGGTATTTTCATCAAACGTTGAACGAAAAAATTGCTGACAAAAAAACAATTACCATCTAAACACATACTGGTTTTCTTCATAACACTGCTGAGACACCACCGGATTGAGAAGTGAAAAAGATATGCTTATATTTATTTATTCATCGCCCCCGAACAATCATACCGGTTTCCGGCCAACACTACCCCGCTCAAGTCCATCAGTTTATCTATTTTCTTCAGTCATAGCACACAGGTTCTCTTTTTTGTACGGAAACAGTTCTTACCAACTTTTCTGAGATCATTATCGTCGTCGTCGTCATCGATCCGGAAGCACCTGGAAGTCGCTTTTAGTCGCTATCGTAGTCGTTCCCCTTGCCATGCGCCGAGTTCAGCGGGCGGCGGCTTTCATCGTCCGAACCATACACCACCTCTTCGTCCGAGTCGTTGATCATCGAAAAGGCCGGGTTGTCCTTGGTGATGGTGGCTTCTGCGAGCGGGTAATGGATATTTACACTAGGGATGCGACATAGACTTTGGGGACTTAGCTTACCATGCAGTGGTCGTCCGTTCGGCGAATACACATAGGCCATGGTGTAGATATAGAAATTCAACAATCCATAGAAGCACATAAACTGTGCGGAGCTTTTGTATGTGGTATTCAACTGGGCGACGAAATTATCCTCAAGGATTCCGAATCCAAACCGGCACATGGTAACCGTCAGCGAGATGGCAAGTACGAACAGCATTAGCAGTGTTAGAAACTTGAGGCGCATGTCTGAAAGTATCGATAGAGGTTTGATAGTCGGGACTTGAAGTCTGTGGGCGATAGGTAACTTACCGAAAAAGGGCATCGACCGCAGTTCACTATAAGCTCGTAGGATCAATAGGACTAAGTATAGCAAGTACATAGCACCCGAAATGTAGAAGAACATTTTGAACCCCTGGAAATAGAAGAAAAATCATTAAATGCCCAGGCCCCGATTCAGTTTGGCTGGTCGAATGAAGAATACAGTGGAAATACGTCCGTCCGGTCCAGCCAAGATGGAGGTTGAGCTTTTCTCAAATATACCGCCCCATCACCGTTCCAAGGCATTGTAACCAACGTGGTCTCTGGTGCTCATGAGCGCCAATTATCTTGTTCTCGAATTCCCAAGTAATTTAATGTGTCGCATAATTGGTGTTGGCTCAGGTCATATCCTGTTACTCGGGACTTTAGATACTATATATTCCATAGATAAGCAGAGGCGAAGTAGAATGTAGCCAAACGAGCATGACGTCATCATGGTGTTTTTTTGCGGGGCGAGTATTGTAATATTATAAGCAAAATTATTATTTATTTTCATTTCCTTATAATTTTTTTCTGGAGTAAAAATAAATCGGACATTGTTTTAATTATCAATCTCTAAATAGCCGCGGAAAACGGAAGAAGGAAATGTTACGCAAACCACTCCTCGATTCATTGTAGCAAAGATTTACTTCAAAAACATTTTGAATTTTTGTGCACGAAATAAAACAAAACAAAACTGTACAAGCTCATTTATGGCATGGAACATTTTTTGACGTTGGATAACGTCTTTCGGCAACATACAACATTGAAAACAGTCATTTTGGATGCGTTACGAAAAATTAAAAGATTTTGAACGATAATAACTCAACCGTCTCTCGATAAATTTACGAGATAATGGCATCAATCGATTGGAAATATTTCTAGCAATTTGCTGAATGTTTCAAAACTATTGATTTCATTCTGTAAACTATTGAAAAATGGTTAAAAGTAAACCATTGTCTAAAGATGGTGAAAATCGATTGATTTTTTTTATATTCTTATACTTTCTCCAACCGAGACATCAGATGCGAGTATCTGACACCTCTGATATTTTCTGTTCTACTATATAAGCGTCCAACAAGGTCGCCCGTTCCATCATTGTCTATCCGATCGTCGACCCAGCAGCAGAGCAGCGGAAGCAGAGCAACGGCAGCAGAGCAGCGGCAGCAGAGCCTGGGGCGAAAGGGCAACTACGCCGAGTGCGTTGGTGCCAGTGCTCCGGTATACTGGGCCGCCGTCATGGAATGCCCAGCTGCTGCAGTTCTCAGTCGGTCGTATTCACCGTCTGCTCCGCAAGGGCAACTACGCCGAGCGCGTTGGAAAAATGGCCCTTTTCAGGGCCACAACATTATAAAGAGAGAGTTTAACGTACGTATGCGAGTATCTGACACCTCTGATATTTTCTGTTCTACTATATAAGCGTCCAACAAGGTCACCCGTTCCATCATTGTCAACAACATCAGCCCAACAAAAAGCCACCAAACTTTCGCAAAAGAGTTATTAAGGAATATTCCTAAAATATAATATACACAATTAAGTACAACACATAACATACGTTATCCAACGCCAACCCTGCGGTCGTATCTAGTATACACGGTGTTTCGCGAAAACCCATTAATGGGTATAAAAATACCCATTTCCGCTAAAAGTGCCCCTCCTCATTTAATGGGTAAACTATGGTTTACTCATAAATGGGTAAATGGGTGGTCTGTCAATAAATGGGTGTTTTTTCACCCATTTTCTTATATTGTGTTTACCGTAAAATGGGTGAAAAAATACCCATTTTTACAAATGGAGGATGCAAGCGCTCGTTGATATAAAAAAGTTTTTGAAACATTGAAAATAAATGCAGGTGTTCCGCTCAAATTTTTCACGAAACATTATAATACAAATTATCTATTGTATTGACTTATCCGTAAGCCTCTCCAACGTTTTGGATTCTATCTTTTTCCGGAGATCGTTGCTGCGGACAGTAACTGTTTGCATCGAGGTTTGCAGCCGGTGACGGAAATGAGACGATAAAATTTCGAAGTGTTTTTTCACCCATTAATGGGTAAAAAATATACCCATTATTCAGCCGTGAACTAATTCTTTAAATGGGTATTTTTTCACCCATTTTATGATTTCAAAATTCCCCCATTTTTTGACAGCTGCATACATGGTTTGAAAATGGGTATTTTTTTACCCATTAATGGGTTTTCACGAAACACCGTGTACAACCCTTCCAACTTTTTTTGCGGATGCCAGTAATAGCAACCGGTGGAAACTAACAATTTAAATTGGCTCACTACTTGACTAGCCTATTGGTCCCAAGCAAATCGATTAACGTAGCCCATGCTAGTCGAAATTCTAGTACTACACTATGTTTGTTTTGATTCGCTATGAAAATTTGACAGATAAAATGAGGGGTTCGTGGATTTTTCTATCCTTCGAGGGGTGCATCGATTAGCTTGGGACCGAAGAGAGTACCAGAGCTGAGCCAAAAAGTTGAGCACTTTTCTTGGGGACCTTTCGGTCTTAGAGTTACCTCTATGGTAATAGCATTTATTTTTAATGATAATATTTTTACCCTAAACCCGACCCGGGTCCGGGATCTAAAAAAATATTTGTCGGGCTCGGGTCGGGTACGGGTAACAAAATAAACGAACAAGTACGGGTACGGGTCGGGTTCGGGTAATATTAGTTGCATCTTAACCAGTCGAAAAATATTGGTTCTAAAAATTCTGTAGTTACTTGCTATTCTAGTTTCATCCACTTCGGATGAGCAAACTTTTTCAGTGGCAGGAGCAACATTAGACCACAAACGAAGTGACAGACGGAGCGGCTCGAAAACTTTGGTGACTAACGTGCTATTTCAATTTTTCAGTGTACCACATGGCAACACTACTACTACTGGATTGTACCACATGGCAACACTACTACTAGATTGAACTAGCATTTTCACCAAATGTACAAGAATGTTTTGGTTCTATCTCTTTCACTCTACTCAAAACTGAAATGCATAAAAAAATGACAAAATGATACGCACTCTTTGCACACTGTCAAAGAATCATTGTACACAAAATCAACTTTGTTCAAATCAAAACAAAAAAACTAACCCATCTGGTGGATGATGGCACAAGCTTCCAAGAAAATTCTATTACAGTGAACCACATTATTTTAATGGATTTCTTCGCCAGTTAGTCGTCTGTCACTTCGTTTGTGATTAGACGCTAGAAGAACAAAGCTCTCACCGGGAACTTTGAGTACATTGACATTCGTTCACATGAATAAGCGTTTTTGGCCTACCGGTAATTAATGTTTACTCTCATATTCACTGCTTTATTCTGTAAAATACTGAATACGAACGATGACTCGAAAATAAATATGTTGTTAGATAGTTTTAATTTTTGAATAGCATTTCGAAAATTTCAGTTTTAGCTGTATATTTTGGATCGGGTTTGTGTCGGGTACGGACGGGTATTGAGATTTATGATTTGTCGGGTTCGGGTCGGGTACAAGTTTTAGAAAATTTAATCGATCGGATTCGGGTCGGGTACGGGTAAAATAGTATTCAATTTATCGGGTTCGGGTCGGGTACGGGTAATGGTTTGTATTTTGAAGTCGGGTTCGGGTCGGGTACGGGTTCTTGAAAATTTAATGAGTCGGGTTCGGGTATTGAAATGTCCATACACCAGACCATATCTACTCTGCATATCTATGGAATACATAGAGTAGATGACGACTTTGGCAATACCTTATTCTATTATCGTCAGGTGGTAAACAACGTCATTGAGAGCTCAATTTTGGCATGTGGATACATTGTTCTATCAGAGCATCTATTGGCCAAATTTGAGTGCTCTAGGACTTTGTTTACCCCCTGACGATAATAGATTAAGGTATTGCCGTTTACAACGAATACTTCAATAGACGACGATCTTCAGCTCTTGTTCTGTCTGAAAAATGTCCGTTGGAGGCAACATCAAAGAACACGCGGTCCTGCTTTGAAAGTTATCTGGAGGGATTTGCAAAAACAAATTAAAATACGATTCTCTACCCTGAGGAACAAAAATTTTGAAAATAATGTGTCGAAATTTCCGAGTTCCAAATCCTTTTAGAAACCCACAAAAGAAAAAAAATCTCAAAATCTTAAAAAAAAATGGTAAAATGTTATTCACAAATACAGAAAAAGCTCATAAACTTACTAAGAAGTTAATTTCAGTTTAGGTGTTACCAGTCCTATTAAGAATCACCGAGCGTTCATTCCGGGTGGTGAGCAAACCAGAAGAAGAAGAAGATGCAGATGTGTGGTACCATGGAGCCTCTTCTCGGAAAGAGTGTATTGTTAATAGAGCTGGTCTACGCTTCAAAGTTAGCTTCTGTGATGTTTGGTATCACATAAAAGGTAAAATAGTTAGCCCCATCTTCATCGAAATGAAAGTATTACTGACAATAATAATAACTCGATGATATGCAAATTTATACGATAGGTAGCTGGATCAACGATATTTAAACATTCAATCTCGACAACTTTTAATTCTGCATGTCAACATCTTTGACTCTCCTTTATCTTCTCCTTCACCTATGCATCTACGCTTCTATGTTCAGAAGTAACTTAGCCCTCATTTATATATAAAATAACATATAAATATACATTTAAATACATATTTTCAAAAGAGAATGGAGGGTCCAACATGGCATCCGATTGAAGCGATTTAGACGGAGAGAGTGGGAACGCCAACTACCTGTTGATCACATTTCATGGATCAAGGGTGGATGCTTCTCCCCACTCATTGGAGCATCTTCCTGTTTGCGGGCTCGTCTTTTTGACCAATTGTGCGATCATGTTGCTGGAAGAAGATTCTTTACTGTCCCGTAGATGCGTATAGGCGACTTTGCCTATCGATCCACCCAATCCGTTGTTGACCCTTCATACAGCGAAATATTGAGGTTATTAAGCTTGATCAAGACAAACAGAGAAGAGAACCCAACTAATATTTTCAGCTTTAGAAGCCAACTTTTCCAGCGTTGTGCTGTACAGTAGCTGAAACAAAACTGCAGGTACAGCTACAAGCAGAAGCTAGCAAAATAATTTTGGAGAGCGTTTACTCAACTTTTTCACAACCGTTATTCAAT